GGAAGCCGCACGCAATGCCATGCACAGACCCTCGGGGCCGTGGAGGGACCAGAGGAGTAAGAATCCACAGGAAGGCCCTCTCATTCGGATAAGGACCGGCTAGACTCCCACAACACGTAGGTACTCAAGAGAAATTGTGAACATTGACTTGATTTAGGCTCCGCTTTGAAACAGCTCTACGGCATTCATCGGAAAAGTATATTTAACGTCCGTCTGTTTCCTTTATTCTCTTCTCTTACCTGACCGAGCACCCAACGGGCGGAACAGTGCACTCACGGGCAGGAACGAAGGGCAGCTGGCTCTGGAAACGCTCCTAACACCATTCATGAGAACCCTGGACCCTCCTGGCTGAACGCAGAAGCCGGAGCCAGGCTGGTAGCGAGGATGGTTTGTGGGTGGAGGAGGCCAGCCCGGTTACAGAGCCCTTTTGCCGGGTGCGAAGCCAGTCAGGTCTCGCCCTTCAGAACCTCGGCAGCCACCGAGAGGTGGGCCCCACGTGGCTTGGGTTCCAGAGTTTCCCTGGAGATGCCACCGCAAACTCCTGTGCCAAGGAGACGCTTGGTACATCCATTTTGCTTGCTGTTGAATCAGATGGGGCCAGGCCCAGGCCCGGGCCATGAAGAGCTGAGGGGGCAGGCAGGAATCCACTAATAAATGCAGAGGTGTGTGGAGAAACAAATCAAAGCTTCTCTCTCCAAACATCAATCTCTAATAAGAAAAGTGGGGTATGCTAATAGGACTGGACATCCTTCTGGATGTCCTTCCGGATGACCTTCGGAAGAAGCTGGGCCTGCGGGGGAAGCCTGGGTCCCGGTGCCAGAGGGAAGCCGGTGCTGGCAGTGGGGGAAGGGAGGCTTATTCTTGCACGAATTTCACACACCGGGCCTCCAGTGAATGACATAAAAGAAGGAGTTAAGGGGCTTTCAAGGCCACTCAGGAGTGAGTAGAAACATGGCTCACAAAATGGGGTCACTTTGTCTTGAACCCCAGTCAGTATCCTAAACACGACAGGCGAAGACTGCCATGCCCAGAGGGGTGGGCAGAGCCCTGGGAAGCACCCGCTAAGTCTGTTCCTGGGTGCCCTGCTGGACCAGAACAGGTACCTGGCATTTTGCTGGCACAGGGTGGACATATGCCATTATTCTCACAGGCTGACAATCCCATTTAAAAGCTGAGATGAGCATTTTCCAAGTGGGTACAGCGCACGCGCACCCACACACCCACACACTCACCGCGTCCCCCCCCCCCCCACACACACACTCACACACGAGCTGGGCCAGCTCTCCCAGGCGCAGAGTGACATGTCACGGCGCCTCACCGACCAGGCTGTCGGCTCCCTGCAGCGTCCGTCCGAGGAGAGCAGGGCTTTCGGTTAAATCAGCCTCAGGCGCCCGGGAAGCCTGCGTGCTCAGAGCACTTCTGGGCGAACAGAAGCATGAATTTTTAAACAGGAGAAAGAGCGTGGATGCGGATGGGTGTTTGATAATGGTCCAAGCTCTAATAGCACGGTGAAATGTTTATCTCATTTTTTTCTTTCTGAGCTGCATGCAATCCATCTGTGACGCACTGACATACTGAGGACCACCGCCGTCTACTCAGCCACAGCTAGAGGCCACCACTCATCGTTTAAAAAGGCGGATCGGGTACCAGGAGAGGCAAGCTCCCGCCAGGCAGGCCCTGTGCCGAGACCATCTCTGACCCGAGGAGGGAGGAGGGAGCTCCCGGAGCACGCGGCTCCTGCCGAGGCCCCTCCGTGCTTCCCAGGCCAGAGGCGGTGGGCACCCCTCTGGTTTGGGGTTCTAGGAAGCCAACTGTCTTAGCAAATGGGCTCCTTAAGTTCATCTCCCTCTTGGACCCTGAACAGACCTGATTCATCTCACCAGGCTTCCTAATCCTCTCCTTGAAAATGATGTGGGTGCCGGGGATGGGGTACAGCTGGGATGGAAAACTGACAGGAAATACTAAGTAAATGTTCATCATGTCAAGACAGATGAATGGTCCTTGCTTCTTGTTTTTTTTTTTTTTTTTTTTTTTTTTTTTTTTTTTTTTTTTTTTCAGAATGAGATGGAAAGCAGGGCTGGCTATGGGAAATCAGAAAACACTGAATTAGGACATAATGAGAGGACTCCAAAGGCCCTGTCTCTGTGTTCCAGACACAGAAGCTGGGAACAGACGGGCCACACGGGTACCAGAGGGAGGCAGCATCACCGTTTTCTCCAGGGCCCCTCTCTCCCAGTCTCCGGGGAGATGGAAGGTGGCGAAGAGCACAGAGGGGGCGCGTGTGGAAGGCAGGCAGTGGCTGTGGTTTTTGCTCACAGGCAGGGGGTGCAGAAGGACCCCTGTGCGAGTTCCCAGGACGGGAGTGGCTGATTAAGGAGGGACACTGCCCCCCTTATTCTAAAACTCCAAGTGTGTACAAGTAGTTAGGAGGCCCAGAAAATAAATAGTGCCGCCCTGGCTACGTAGCTCAGTTGGTTGGAGTAAAGTCCCAATATATCAAGGTTGTGGGTTCGATCTCCAGTCAGGGCACATACAAGGATCAATCAGTGAGTGCATGGTTGGGTAGAGCAATACACTGATGTTTTTCTCTCCCTTTTTCTCTCTCAAATCATAAAAAAATTAAAAATAAACAATGGTTACACATAATTTACCTTCCACATTTCCTAGTCACACATACAGTAGGAAACACAGGAATGGTTCAAAGATACCAGCACCCAAGAACTCTGGTTACTTTCAGCGCCATTTTTGACCTACAAAGAATTGGCCCTATCCCAGATGAGACCTGACATTGTGCTTTTTGTCTTTTATTATTTTTTTTTTCTTTTTATGTAAAATGGCAGCTCTTTCTCAGATGAAACAGCCTTTTCCCACGAATTCAACCCTTCTGGGACCTCCTGCATCACTGACCAATGCCGGGCCTTCCACGTGGTGGAGGAGCCTGTGTACAGCCGGGGTAGTTTGGCTGTGGGATTTGCCACCGGAGGAGAAGCAGGCACAGTCCCTGCGGCTGCCCCCAAAGTGACTTCCTCCCGAAGTCCAAAGCCAGAGGAGAAATGGGGGTGACTGGAGTGTAATTTTTTTTTTAATTATTTAAAAAAAATATATATTTTATTGATTTTCTACAGAGAGGAAGGGAGAAGGATAAAAAGTTAGAAACATCCATAAGTGCTTCCTGCACACTCCCCACTGGGTATGTGCCTGCAACCAAGGTACATGCCCTTGACCAGAATTGAACCTGGGACCTTTCAATCCGCAGGCTGACACTCTATCTACTGAGCCAAACTGGCCAGGCTGGAGTGTACTTTTCTTAATCCCATTCTGACTAGTGTCTGGGGAAGAAAGATGACCTACATGCTCTCAGCCCACCCCGGAAGCCGGTGTCGCCTCCTGACTGTGATGCCTGTTGGAGGATGGCGGGTTCCCCGTCTGAGCGCCGGGCTGCATTGGCAGGAGGCGGCGGAGAAGGCGGCCGGCACCCCTGTGCCCGCTGCTCCCCCACGGCCACAGGTATAAACGCCGCAGGACAATCTGCGAACACAGGGCAGGTTCCGCGAAAACCGTGTCAAATGAGATGATGAAAGAAAAGAAAAACGACAGGACGCCCTAGCTGGTTTGGCTCAGTGGGTAGAGCGTCAGCCTAGGGACTGAAAAGGACCCGGATTCGATTCCAGACAAATGCACATGCCCGGGTTGGGGGCTCGATTCCCAGTAAAAGGTGTGCAGGAGGCAGCCGATCCACGATTCCTTCTCATCATCCAACTTTTTTTTTTTTTTTTTAAATATACTTTATTGATTTTTTACAGAGAGGAAGGGAGAGAGATACAGAGTTAGAAACATCGATGAGAGAGAGTCATCGATCAGCTGCCTCTTGCACACCCCCTCCTCGGGATATGCCCGCAACCAAGGTACATGCCCTTGACCGGAATCGAACCCGGAGCCCTTCAGTCCCCAAGCCGACGCTTTATCCATTGAGCCAACCGGTCTTGGCTCATCATCCAACTTTGAAGTCAATAAAAATATATATTAAAAAAAAATGACAAGAAGCTGCTCTCTTACATACCCACAATTCAAAGGCTTGGCCCTTTGGGGGACCATTCCTCACTAAGGATATTTTGATAACAACAAACTCCCCACAGCCATGGGATCACTTGTCATTTACTGTTAAGGATAACTTCACGCAGATCCAAAATAAGAGAGGGCGTCATTTATTGGCTGTCCCCAGGAGTCTGGTCACACGGGGAGGTGTGGAGGGCGTAACCACACTGAACAGAAGGGTCACCGATGCCCCCGCAGTCCTCTGTGGCCCAGGCACCACCTACCCGGGTACAACAAGCTGAAGCAGCCGGCGACGGATGGCACTGTCCATTAGTCTTGGTTTCTCTCCCACCATCTTCCCCTGAAACAGCGCTTGAAAATTCACAACATGAAAGGAAGAAGGCAGTAACCGTTTGCAGACCGTCCCCACCATGAAGGGATGCGCGTGGCATGCAGGCTCACATCTGGTCCTTTTTTGTCCTTTGGACATTTTTTTTTTTTTTTTTTAAAAACCTAACAAATGGAACGGCACGTCTATGTCAAAGATTAGTAGCAATAAGTGCAATTCCAGTCCGGCCCCCAGGCTCCCAAACCTTCCGTGTGTCTGTCCCGGGAGGGCAGCAGACGGTGTGACTGACACCCGGGCACGTCCTGTCCCTTGAGCCTCTGATCACAGACCCCAGGTTCCCCGTCCCCACGCCCCCCCTTCCTATCCCAAAGGCCTGAGAAAAGCAAGGGCCCTGTGTCCTCTGCCATCAAAGCGGTCCGGGTGGGAGCAGATGCCCAATGCACCACGCTGGCAGCACCCGGCCCAGCTGCCTGTGCCGGGAGAGCGGTCCAGGCGCTCTGCGGCCGGTCCGTGCCCAGGGCCCGAAGTCCTGGCCACCAGGGCCCTGAGTCAGAGAAAGTGGATGCAGGAGCAGCCCCTGTGTGGGCCCCCACAGCCCACAGTCCGGCCGGGCCGGTCACACGGAGCTGAGCTTCACCAGGCCGCGCACTGAGTCCTCGTGCAGCGCGTCCTGGCTGGCCAGGCCCAGCACGTGCGCCGTGCGGCTGTGCGCCAGGGGGCTGCCGGCCAGCAGCCGCGGCGGCGAGGGCGCCTCCTCGGGCGTCAGGAACTGGTGGCCCATGTGCTCCTCCTTCAGGGGCAGGATGTCCGTGAGCCCGGCCTCCGAGGCGAGGTTGGGCATGGAGGAGGGCGGCGTGGGCTGCCCGAGCGTCAGGCTGGCGCAGGGCGTGCCCAGGCCCGGCTTCCCCGGCAGGTGCAGCTCGTCGCCGGCCAGGCTGGGTTCGCTCTGCAGCAGGGGCGTGGCGGCGGCCTGCAAAACGAATTTGGTGCTCTGAATGCACTGGTCCTGGTCGCACTGGAGCAGGAGGGAGCCAGCAGAGAGAAGCCCAGACGAGGGGACGCAGGGCGGGGAGGGAAGGGGAGAGGGGGCAGGGGGAGGGCAGGATGCGAGAGAAAGAGAAACCCGTTAGTGACACCTCAGTCAGCAGGGCAGGGAGCGTGTGCAGCAGCCCGGCTTCACCTGGAGACACTGGCATGTGGTAAGCACCAACACCTGGCACCGGGGAAGGCTGCTCAAGCTCACGGTCCCCACAGAGGCCGGGGAGCAGGGGGCAGCCTCGGCCTGCCACGCTCCCGGCCCCGGTTCACAGACCGGACCCCACTCCAATCCATCCCACTGATGCATCACAGAACTGTCCACGGGGAACCTGTATCATTTTATTAACCAACCAGAGGCCCGGTTCATGAATTCGTGCACGGGTGGGGTCCCTTGGCCTGGCCAGTCATCAGAATCAGTTGGGGCCATCTCACCCAATCCTGATCCCAATACATTTAATTTAAAAATCTAATTTAAATAAATAAATAAATACAATCCCACCAACAGAGTCACGAGCTTTACCACCTGCTGCGGTCTGGTGGCTGGTTCTTATGTGCTGAAAACTACATTTACTATATTGTTTTAAAAATAGAGGGGCCTGGCCAGTGTTGCTCAGTGGTTGAGTGCAGACCTATAAACCAGGAGGTCACGGTTCAATTCCAGGTCAAGGCACATGCCCAGGCTTCAGGCTGAGGCGACTAATCAATGATTCTCTCTCAGCCTTGATGTTTCTCTCTCTCTCTCTCCTGCTCCCTTTCTCTCTGAAATCAATAAAAATATATATATATTTTTAAAAAAATTCAGGGGCCTGTACCTCCATGTTCATAGCAGCATTATTCACAACCATCAAAAGGTGGAAAGAACCCAAGTGTGCACTGCCTGATGAATGAATAAATAAAATATGGTTTACACAGACAATGGAACCTTGTAAAACCCTACAAAGGAAGGCCATTCATTCTCATACATTCTTCCACACAGAGGAACCACGAGGGCATTGTGCGGCGTGAAATGAGCCAGGCACCGAGGGGCAAACACTGTACGCCTCCAGCTCGGGGCGGCACCTGGAGCCATGCCATCGCTTCCCAGAGAGCGAGCGGAATGCCGTTGGCGAGGGAATGGCGCGGAGGCAGGGTTAACGTCTGCAGGTGCAGCTGTGCGCGATGACAGGATTCCGGAGATGAACGGTGCCGAGAGCGCAATCACGTGCATGAGCTTACTGCCACTGAATGGCACACCCAAACACGGCTGAAATGATGAACTTTCTAGAATGTCTATTTTACCCCAAGGAGAAAAGAAAGAAAAATGCTGGGCAGCAGAAGCTCCTGCAGGTCCGATCGGACAACTGGTAAGAGCCCGAGGACCCCTGCCGCTACCCTGTCCTCAGTCAAGAACCACTAATTGAGCTAACGTGGTTTTTTTAACCTGCGAGGGAGAACGCCCAATTTCATAAGGCATTTCCTTTTCTCCCGAGTGCTCTGAAAGCATGTCACATCTCGTGCCGTTTCTTTCACGTGACTCAGTGGCCACAGGAGAGTGGCTGGTGGAGGGTGGCTCTCCGATTCCTTCGTCAACCCCGCCCTGGACCATGGCAAGTTTGGGGACAGCTGGAGGAGACCTCACTGGCCATCCTGCACTTGACTCTGTGCAGAAGCTCGTCAGAGAGGTTCTCCCATCACGTGGATGTTCGGTGAACACACGTGGCTTTACATTGCACCGTGAGCTGGGGCTCCACGGCATGTCTCCAGAAGCTCTCGGGCCAATCTCTTTACAAGGAAGACCCCAAGGCGTGGATGGAGGTGTGCTCGGAGCCTCACAGATGAAACTAAGGGAGGGGTAGGGGCCTGGGGCCGGGTTGCCTGATCGCAAACCCCTTTCCACTCAGGTCGGCAGACGGCTCAGCTTAGACAGGGTGAGGCGGACCAGAGCAGCCTCCAGAACGAACAGCCTCTGGGAACCACCCAGGACCTTGGGTAGACAGTGCCCCGATTGTTTTATGAAAAATACTCTTCAGTCTCTTTACTGACGGAGCAGCTGTGCTGCATCCGTTTCCTGTAGCTCAGCCCAGCCTCCCAGCAGGCCGGCCCCTCCGTGACCCGGGGCTGAGATGCCAGGCAGAGGGCGGGCCCCATCCCGAGGATGGAACCCTGCTCTCCGCCTTCCCCCCGGAGCCCTCATTCACCCCAACACCTCTGCCCACACAGTGCGCCCAGCTCTAGATCCTCATCATATTAACGGTGCACATTCTGAACATCTTCTCAGAAGAAACTCAATAATTAGGAAATATGTGATTTTTTTTAAAGGTCCAAGCTTTTCCTCATTTGGTACAACCTTCATGGTTGTAAATCCCATTTGAAAAGTTCGAGGGGAAAATGGCCAACACGTCAGGGTTCCGGTGGAGTGGCCCATGGAAAGGTGTTCTGACGCCCCATCCCTTCTATCTTGCTTCTAATTCTTATCTGCTCTCTCTGGCCCCACTGATTCTCTTCTTTCCCTTCCATCTGCTTCCTTTCCTCCATTTCCCGCCCACTCCCTCTCTCTTCTCTTCCCACCTCTCTCTCCTCTCACCTTGATCTTTTTTATGTTCACCCACCCCCTTTCCCTGGCGTTTCCCGTCTTCCTCCAGCAGAGGGAGCCATCGCTGCTCACTTGTTTCTCTCCGCACCCAGCTGGGCAGGCGTTATTTATATCGCAGCACCAACACCCAGAAGCCATTGGGAGTATTTTAATTTATCTAGCCCGTTATAGTCTCCGGGGAAAAACAAGCCCCAGGATACTGGACAATGACAATTCATTACTCGGAACAGGAAATGGAGAAACTCAGGTTTTCATTCCAAAACAACCCCTTTACAAGTTCCTCTCTATCAACTATAGGGTTGAACCATATGAAGTTGCCATTTCTTTTGGTCAAAAATAACCCGGATGCTGAGTCCTGACAGAAGAGAAGTGCGATCACTGTGAGCCTGACTATGAAAAGCGCCTCCTGCTGGCAGCGTAGCACGGACACGTCCGCGCCAGAGCGCTGGCCGGGCTGCAGCAGGTCACCGTGGTGGCTGGCCGCTGACTGACTGCCCCCACGAAGGCGCATTTCCTCGCAGGGACATTTATGGCTTCAGGTGTCCCAATGCCACAGGCGTTATCACTTAACGCTACCATCGAGGAACACCCCAGAGATCATGTACTTTTTGTTTCTGAGGATTTCCAAATAAAACCGCTCAGGTTGGAACACATCTCACTTTACCCTGGCTGGCTTCCTGTGCGCAGTGACCCTCAGACACAGGCTAAATGCGTGCGTTTCTAGATGGCCTTCACACACTTTGAGAAGGAATGGAAGGACTTATTTAGTTTGCTCCCGTTCTGTCAGAGTATTCCTGCTGGGCACTGTTCACTGCTGCCTGCCCATGGAGCTGTGTTCTGGGTCTCACGAATGCTCACTCACCGTTATAAAAACACCACAAACTTGAAAATCTACCTAAAATGTAGGCTGGGAGGAGAGCTTCCTTTCTATTATTCTGTGAACATTACCGTTCAAATCTGCTTACGTTGCACTGCTCTACAATATTTGATTTTTCAGAATATGCTCGGAGAGCTCCCTTGATTGACTAGCTGAGTAAGTCATTCCACAGCTAGGGCTAGCCTTGTTTGGATATTGGATTAAGGGGATTTAAAAAAAAATAGGTTAACCAAATATATCAGATGATCTTCTGCAAAAGCAAGAAAGAAATCCCGACAGCAAGGGACTATCTTTGTGTTTGGCACGTGATCCCAAAGGAACTTTGAAGCTACCAGGGCCAGATTGAAACATAAACGGTGACCTGGATGCTGTTCAGAACTAAAAATTATTTGACAATAGGTTTAAACATCAGCTGGGACCCAGGTGCTGGACGGAACTGAAACTGACAACCAGATGGGGTACCCTAAGGGCGGGGCCACAGGTGCTGTCACCACTGCCCATGCACGCGCAGAACGTCAGTGCGGGGGACAGTGAAAGCCAATCGAGGGGAACAGGCCCCCCGGCGGCACAGGGGGGTCTGCCCTTATCCCAGCGGCGTCCCCGGAGGTCCCGGGTGTTCACCCAATAGAGGCTCTCCTGGGCTCCACGCCCCCTTCCCACGCTGTGGTGGCCACCTCGGTGCTGCCCTGGGCTTGCCTCCTCGGAACTCTGTCGCAGGGGGATGGCTGCAGGCCTATCCCCAACCACAGACCCCGAGACTGTAAGTGAACAGGGAATCGTCCTGTTTTTGAGGAAATAAATAAGACCTCAGTGCTGGCCTGGATGCCAGGCTCTCTAATTAGATTTGGCTAACGTCTCTGTCCCGCACTAACACTGTGCTCACCTAGGACCTAAAGCCTGTGCCTCTCGTTCCGAACACAGCACCTGTTCCCCAGAAGCGCTTTGCCTATCATCCAGGAAGTACCTTTCGGGTCTGGACTTTGGTCCTAAAATAAAATCATTTGTTCATTTCTAGTAAGGGACAACCGTCTGGCTCCTCACACACGCAGTCCCCTTCCCAGCTCTGGGGCGGGGGTCCAGGCCAGGCCAGTTTGCAGACTGAGGCTGGAACTGGAAGGATGTCACGGCTGGACCTACGGGGTCCAGGACGGAGCTATATCCGGGTGCAGAGTGACCCCTGAGGTTTTAGCATTTCTCCCTGACAGTGTCGTCCGTAAGGGCCACTGGTGTGGGCGAGTGCAGACAGAACGAAATGTCCCAGGATCGCATGGGGGAGTGGCAAGGACTGGTGTATACAAACTTTCTTCCAAAGAAGAGGAATTATTAGCAAAGCAAAGCAAAATAACACACAGGAAACGCCACCGCCAATAACCAAACCCAGAAGTGCTGCGGGGCTGGGCCCTCGCCTGCCTGTCCAAACGCAGCCAACGGCCACAGCCCAGTGGACTCCCGAGCCCCAGGGGAGGCTGCTTTCCCTCCCAGTTCCCGCTCAGAAGCCAGGCCGGGAGCCGCATGCCTCGAAGGCTGCTGATCACGGGAGCTCTGTGTGGTGACCCAGGGCCACGGAGAGCAGCAGTGCCAGGAGGCCCCCAGCCCGGTCCCTTTCAGAAACACGCACATCTTCAGGAATCTGTTCCAGATAAGCAGGGACCGCTGCCCAAGGGACTTAAAGGCCGATGGTCAGGGCCCGCTGAGCTGGGGTTCCCGGTGCCCGCAGAACCCCTCCCCCCTCCATCCCTCCACCTCACCCTGAGTCTGCCACCCAGGAACAGAGCCCACCTTTCTGTGCACGGCCCCTCAGCTTTCGCTGTGAGGATGAGCCTGGTCTGAGCATTCCCACCCAGGTGTGCATGGCGGGGCTGAGATCTGGCTGAAGGGGGGGCACTGGCAGCGCCCCCACGGCACACCAACGGGGGTGGGGTCAGAACAGACTGAGCAGAGGAACAGAATGGGCCTGGGGACCGTCCAGCCAGCCAGCCCTGCTGAGGGCAGCTGGTCCCGTCCCCAGTGACACCGTGGCCTGTGCAGGGGCCTTTCCTTCACCAGGTGCCACAGCTGTTTCTAGAAGATTTTGTGTGTCCTTCCCCTCACACACCTGTCCCTCGGCGGCCACACCCTTTTCCCCTCGCCCAAGCCTCCCAGGCCCTGGTGTCCGGGAAGCTTTGAAGGGGTGCCTGGTCTAGGGTGCCCGGTCTAGGGGCACCCGGTTGAGGGGCGCCTGGTGTAATGGGGTTAGTGAGCACAGAGGCGGAAGAGAAGCCTTCCCCGGAGTGGTGCCCTGCCGGCAGCCCCTACCATGTCGCTCTGCGAGGCAGTGGCCCCGTACGTGGCCAGCCCGTTGGAGGGCGCAGCTGGCTGAGGCGTGTCGGGCTGGACATACCCTCTTCTGTCGATGAGGCTGCAGGAGAGAACAAAGCAGAACAGGAGGAGGAGAGTGAGGGGGAAGCCAAAGACGCCAGCACCTCTGTTTATTTCTGCTTGGCGGGGGGGAGGGGGGTCCCCTCTTTCTGTGCAGGAGCGGAATGGGGGCTGCAGCTGTGGCTGGGAATCAGGAAAACAGCCCCCTCTCCTGAGCACATTGTCACCATCCTGGGCACACGGCTCCGCCGCTGTTAACATCATTGCTGTATCATCACCACAGTCGCCACGGGGTCAGGCCGCACACAACCGCCTCCCAACTCTCCTGGCATTGACATTCTACACACTCAGCTCCTAACTCATCTCCACGGGTTTCCTAACTGTTCCCTGCAGGGTGTCCTGGGTCCCTTGCTGTGCTAACGACAGCTCCCTGCTCCCCACTGAAGCACAACAGTCACATGCCTCAGTTTCCCTATTTGACCCTTAGGGATTTCCCTCAAACTTGACACAGATTCACTGGAAGGACCATGGTGTCAAGGGCAACACAACAATAGCCAGGTGTCTGTGGTCTCTGCTTCCTGAGGCTGTGCCCGTGGTTCCAATGGACGGTGTGGCCTGATCCACTCGCAGCAGCCACACCTCTCCCAGTGGGGCCAGACCTCCCTCAGCTAAGGCGTGTGCTAGGGCGTGTGCTAGGGTGTGTGCTAGGATGTGTGTCTTCTAGGGTCTGGTGAGGAGCACCCTGCTTTCTGAACCTCACCTTGGCGAGACGGGCCCACACAGGGCCACACAGCAGTTGGTGAAGATGTTTCCGTAGCTGTAGGGGTTGTAATTCTCTTTACCTCTTTTATTTGACCAGGACCCTTTAATCTGAAAGAAGAAGACAGTAACAGTTTCCTTCACACCAGTGCCAGTTTGAGGGAACTGGACCACGAGAAGTCCGTGGGAAAGCACTCCTCTCCCCGCACGCCTTCTGCAGGAGGGCGGATGCTGCTCTCAGGGAACCCTGGCACTGACGCCCAAATCGAAACACCCCCACGCAGCAGCCAGATCAGGGAGAACGCATTCTTCGGGGACGAGCTCTGATTTCTACTCCGTGGCACCAGAGGCCGGCTCGCATGAGCCACGAGGCTCTTTCACGCTCCCACCCGGTGCGGAAACAGGCCCTAAGTGATGGCGGCGGGAGGGCAGCCCTCTGACTGCCAGTTTGGAGCCCTCTGAGCTTGGCCTCGGGTGTTGCCGAAGTAACTGTGCAGATTCTAACAGTCTCTGTTACCAAATGTGAGTAACTGTTCACATTCTTGCATCTCATCGGGGCTGGTTTTCTCGAGCCTCTAGGCAAGAGAAAGGAGCGATGGGGAGACACGGACTGATGCTTAGAGCAGAGAGGAGGATGAAGAAACATTTCCCCGCAGACGTTTCTGGTTCTGATGCCCCCTCGCCACCCGCAGGACGTACAGGCAGGTAACCCTGCGCAAAGGTGAAACTGTGGGCCTGGCCGGTCCCCAACGCTGACCTGGAGACATTAACTGGGGGGCAGACTCCACGTGCACCTGAGATGACAGCTGCCCCCCCCCCCCTCGGGGCTCGGTGGCGGGTGCTCCCACACCCACTGAGGAGGAACGGGACAGGGCGTCCGCCGCAGGGCCCGGGCTGGGTCCCCTGGCAGATCTTAGCCCCCAAGGGACTGACATGGCCAGAACGCAGGACAAGGTGGGGACTTCCGGCAGAAAGGCCCCGTGTGGAGTGGGGTGGACGGAGACCCCGGTTCCTAACTTCTCTTTCCCTCCCGGTTCCTGGACACAGAGCAGGCCCCGCCCCGCGCCGAGGGAACTCACGTCCTCGTTGGTGGTCTGGTTGGAGCTGATGAGGTACGTGTGGAAGCCCAGCAGCCCGACGATGGACCAGACGGAGAAGAAGCACACCACGGCCTCCAGCACGGTGCCCGAGTCAAGGAGGGAACCGGGGATGAGCGCTCGCCGAGCCGGGCCGCGACGGCTGGAGGCGTGGACGGGACACCGCACTCACTCGGGCCTCGTGCGTCTGTCCAGCCTCATGGTGAGCTGGCACCCGGGGGCGCCTGGGACAGGCCCTCCCCGCGTCCTCCGCCACCTGCTCAGTAACGATGGAGGGGGTCCCTGCCGGCTTTGTCATGGGCCTTGGACTGTCCTCCCTCCTGGCCACCCCGCCTTTTCCTGCGACTCACACCGAGGGGCCACCGACAGCTGCCCCGGGAAGCCAGCGCTGGGCCGGCAGGGTCCTGCCTCCGGTGGGAGTGACTGAGCCCACTTCACGCACAGACTCTCCTCTTGGCCACGGGGTGCTGAGAGCTGTGGTGCCAGCAGGTTTCTCCCAGCCCGCGGGCAAGGCTGTTGGGCCTCGGTGCGGGGCTGACTGAGTGCGGAGCTGACCTGGGTGGTTGTGTGGGCGGGGTTGTCTTTGGGGCTCTCTCGCTGGGCAGCCCTCCGACACCTGGGTGCTGCCTGCTCCCTCTGCCCCTGGGCTCTCACCCAGCGGGGGCATTTCGCAGACTGGCTCGGGGTGAGGGTCATTGTATTTCGGGATGTTTCCCCGCCCGAGGCCAGCCCTGCCACCGAAGGTGGTGAACCTGGAGGCTCACGGGGGACACACACACACACACACACACACACACACAGACGGACAGACCTGCAGATGGTACAGCCGAGGCAAGCGGCTGCCTCCTTCACCGGAACATCACCCGCAGGGGCAACTGAAAAGACTAGAGGACTTTCCGCCCCACAAATGTTTATAAAACTCTATTTACAAGATATGGATGTTTCTCGGGGAAAAACAAATCTTTCTCCCAGGCCTGGGAGTTTCAGTCTGCACCACGCACCCAGGAGTGGGTTACAGGCCAGAGAAAGAAACATGCAGGTTCCTGACGCCCCCACGCGTGGGAGCCACGGGCCACACTGTGACATAACCCCTGATTCTTTTCAGGACTGGCGGAGATTCTCCTTTAGATAGGAGGAACGCACACGTTCCCCAGGGCAGGGCCATGATCGGCCCCGTCACAGCCGGGCCCTCCAGAGTCCAGCCTGCCAGCACGCGATGACCTTGCAGAGGAAGGAGGAGAGGAAAACAAGGTGGTGTTTGAGAAAAGCAGATAAACATGGAGGGATGGGGGGGACACGCCTGGGGAGGAGAGTCAGAGAAGTGGCCCCTCCCCATCCACGTTTGCCCGCTTTTCCCCGGGCACCCCGGCAGCCCCTGCCTTTCCCCCAGGGCTGCCCCGGGGGCAGATGGTGCCGGTGGGAGGCCTGGCAAGCCGCTGGGACACAGGGACAAAGACGTCTCCTTCTCACCTGCCTCCCGACAGGCCACTCTCGCAGCTGCCCCTCCTAACCTCATCGGCCACCCAAGGGGGGCAGGCGGGGAGGCAGCCGCTGGGAGCCAGGCCCCCGTGTGAACCAGAGGTGGAGGGGAGGCCGGACAGCGAGGGTCCAGGGGCGGCCAGCCAGGAAGACTGGGTGCCCGGGGCGGGGGGACACTGGCAATGACTTTGCAGAAGAGCAGGGGGCACGTGACGCCAGCCAAGAAACGGTCAAGGCGGAAAAGAGAGGATAAAAACGGAAGCAAAGACTTTCCACGGAGTGACCTGGGACGAGCTGAGCTCAGAGTGCTCCCTGCCGAAGGAGCTTACTTCCAGGGCAGCGGGAGGCAGGCGGCGCCCAGCACGCCCAGCGTTCCCGTGTGCGGACCGCGGACCCGGTGCTGGAGGAGGTGAGGCGGCGGGCGGGAGGCTGCCCCAGCCCCTGTCCTCCGCGGAGCCGCCTGCCTCCCCCCACAGGCAGGCGCTGGTCCCAGGGGAGGGGGGTTTGAAAGGTTTAGCGCAACAACGACGAACGCAGCTTTCCACGTTAGCATCTCGTGCCTGAGACGGTTGTAAACAGCAGATGCAGCCTCCCCAGCAGCTCACTGCCGTGTCAAGATGACACGAATGCAGAGAAGGCGGGTGCAGACCGCGGCCCCCTCCAGCGTCGCCCATGGCCGCTGCGCCTCCCCCAGCAGCCCTGGAGGGAAATCACCACCGTTCCCCCCGATGGCTGGCGGCACGGGCACGTGCCAGGTGCCACCATGGCTTCCCAGGGACGCACCTGACCCTCAGGTCACCCACTTGACGCAGAGGGAAACTGAGGCAGGAGGCACTGAAGTAACTTGCTTAAGAGACAGCAGAGCTGGGATCTGAGCCCTGGGTGTGGCTCCTCTCCCAGTTCTTGCTGGGGCAGTGGCTCTGGCTCACCGTCCCCCTCTGTTGGGGAGTCCCTGTCAGGGTCCTGACCCTGCGGCCTCTGCAGGAGCTGTGCCCTGCACACCCACCCTCAGACTGTGCCCCCACCAACAACACACCTCCTCCCTGACCCACAGCCAGATGCTGTCTGTGCCAGAACAAGAATATAAATTTCTCTGAAATGTTTTTATACATTTACTGATTTAAAAAGAGAGGAAACGTGCCAACTCAGAAAAATTGCACACAAATGACAAACACATTTTTCTTATAACTTCAGGCGGCTTACCAACACCCCTGACACAGCTGCATGGACACACACGGACCCCCGTGAAGAGGTCCTGGCTTATTCTGACCCTTTCCTCTTACAGACCGGAAGCTGAGGCTCAGAGTCCTCCAGCCACTCATCTCAGGGCTCACAGAGAAGTTCATGGCGAAACGGAGCTAGAACGTGGTCTCCCCAGACTTCCGGGAGAGAGAGAACCTCCCCAAGGCCATCAACAAAGACACCCTGGCCAGCTGCCCCGGAGGGCCCGGCCCTGCCAGTCGCACAGACGTCCTCACTGATGAGCAGAACTTCGTGCTCTAAGCGCATCGCCAGCCGGTGGGACCCACAGCAGACTCTTTGGGATACACATTCGTGAGGCGGCAACACTAACGAGCAGAACCCAGCCGGGCCCACTGGACTCCGACCTGCAGGGCCGTGAGATAATCCATCTATCAGCTTGTGGCTCTTCGTCACAGCAGCCACGGAAGCTCATACAGCCGGCACGTGCTGCGAGGGGCCTGTCATGCGCTCGGGGCGGGTCAAGGCCACCAGGCTCCTGAACGTGGGGCCAGGCGCAGGACACAGCCTCCAGGGCACGGCATCGGGCTGTGGGGAGGGTCAGCAGCACCATGTGGTGACCCTGGGAAGGCAGCGGCTAAGGCTGTGTGTGTGTTCGCATACCGGGCCCTGGGAAAACTCTCCGCCTCCGCCTGAGAGTGACCTTCCGAGAGAAAATAAGCTGAAATGTTGCTCTGGACCAAATGAGAGCAGTTCTCTCCCCTCCCCACCCCCCCTTCCACAAGAATCGTTTCTGCAGCAAAGTCGGCGTGCCACCCCGATACATCGCCACCCCTTCCTCCCTTCCATCGGCAGCACCTGCCTCTTCCCTCATGGGGAACACAGTGCACTTGACTCTACAGACTGAGCACAGCCAGCCCGTGCGAGCAGCAGACGTGTGCTCGGCGGGAGGCCTGGCAGAGAGCTCACGCCTCCCACGCATGTGGCAGTGCTCTGGTGCTGAGCATGCTCACGCACAGCCCAAAGAGCTGATTCTGTTGCCATAGCACTGCCTGGTACAGAGTGGTGGCTGACTACTGTCACAAATAGCCACAAACGTAGAGGCTGAAAGCAAAGAGCTGAGACTCCAAAAAGGGTTTAAAGAAATGGCCTGAACCTCCTCATGAGATGCGATGGAGCAGGAAGCCAGGCTGTTGCCCGTCCAGGACTTGCTACCGGTCTTTCCTCAGGACTCACCCCAGGATTGTGAGGTGGTGAGATCCTCCCTCGGTGGGGAGGTCTGCAGTGGATGGCACCCCCTGGCCCCCGGCCAGCAACAAGCCCAGTCACACAGCTGAGCCCTCAGCGGGAGGGCGTGTGTGCGGGTGCCCAGGACAGCCACGGGGAGCAGCGGGCAGCCCGGAGGCCCAGGGAACGGAGCAGTGAGCTCCCTCAGTCTCCACAGGGTGAGGATCCCTGTCACTGACGTCAGTGCACCCCCCACCCCTCGCCCTGGACTGAGATGTAGGCAGGTGACTCTCAGTCAAGTTCTTTTCTTAAGAGTCCTACCATGAGGTGAGGACTCCTGGGAATAACAGGGAGTTCAGGTCCAGGCCACCTGGTCACCTGAAGACGAGAGAGAGCCTGGGCCACAGGGGCGGTCAGTGGGGCCGGCTGGCGGGCCACACCAACGAGTGGAAACCTTAGTGGACAGCGAATGGAGTGGGAGCCCACGCAAGAACCGAATGGGCGAACATCAGCCTTTCCAGAAGTTCAAAATACTAGGGTACATGCCCTTATATGCTGAGGAGGGGACTCACCCACACGACGTGGGACGGACCATCTTTGGTCCCTCCGGGGCTGGGAAAGGTGTTCCGTTTCTGAAAGTTCATACGGGTCATCTGTCCTGCCCAGAGGAGGGCCAAACTGACCCCAGACAGAAGCTCACGGGGGTCCCCTCTGGGGCTGCCAGCTGAGAAGGGGGCCCACTCAGGGACACCCACAAAGGTTCTGCAGGGACCACCTGCTGATCAGAACGCAGCCAGTTTGTAGTTTGCAGCCCTGCTTCTCCCCAGACCAACCCAACGTAACACATCGATGTGGGCTCCCGGGGTGGGCAAGAACACACACTCGCTTTTTGGGCCAAGCGCACCCCTCAGTTGGGGCATTCGGACGCCATTCCTCACGCCAGGGGATGCTTCACGGGACAAAAAGGAATACGGTTGCTGAGAAGACAAGCCAGGGCACAGGGCGGAGGCAGGGGGCCGAGGAGGGCGGTCCGGCACTCGGCGCCTCGGCCTTGCACACACACAACACCCACAAAGGATATCTGGCGGGGCTGTCCTTGATCGCATTGAGGAATCCCGTCTGCTGTGAACCTGTGGGGACAAACCAATACTTAGTATTAGACCAACATCCAGCTTTCAGACGCTCCCCTCCAGAACAGCCTTCACACGGAGCTCCCTCATCGGCACGGCAATCACCGGTGTCTCCGGAATCTCCGTGTCTCCGGATCAGTGAAATAACTAAGTGTGTGAGCTGCAGCCCCGGGGCCCGGGCCGGGATGGCGACACCACGGAATTATCAACAGGGACACGGCAGGTTCCCGAGAAGCAACAGCTGCAGGGCGGTCTTTCAGTCAAAGCATAAACTGTAGTTCTGATGGCTCCTCTGTGTCCCTCATTTTAGTAGGAAATCAGAATACTGCAGGCCGTTTCCCCTCCTTTCATGAAAGACTGTTTTCCTGGGGTGCGTTAGCTTCCGGCCCTGGAGGTCCCAGACACGAGGCTACATATAAACTCCATCTTTCTCTGCGCCCAGAGGACACACATGCATCACGCCCAAGTCTACTGCGACTCCTTGTGGGTTTAAGGTGTTTTATGCCAGAAAACACTTCTTGAGGGGCTTGAGTGAAGATGCATCCGAGAGGCGATCTTTAGTTTATGGACTGACATCGTGGCTTCTGTGACTCAAAGCCCACGGGAGGAACTGTGGGTATCCCATTGTGGGGGTGACGCGGGTCCCTGATTGCCATGCAGAGCCCTGTGTTTGGGGACATGGTGCGGCCCCCGGCAGCGATGAGATGACCAGGGAGGGCTGCTGGGAACAGGATGGGGCCAGCGCATTCCTGCAGCACATGGGCATGGCTGCAGCATGGGAGTTACCGGCTGGGCCCTAGGCCCCACGGTGTGCGTGGAAACCTGTCCAGCGATGGAAAGGCTGTAAGTGGACGGCTCCACATTCTTCCTCGAGTTCCCATTCCCTCTGTGCGTCCCCCACTCCTCTCTCTGTCCTCCCCTCCTTTCTGTGTCCTCCCCTCCTCTCTGCACCCACTGGTCACAGCAGAGGCATGAGGATGTGCCCCGTGAACTAGGATGCCAGCCCGTGGGAGAGCTAACAAGCTTAGAGCTCCCCCTTCCATCCATCCCTGCTGGGGCCATAGGAACCAGCAGGGGGAAGTGGCGGGTCTTCGAGCAAACACAGCCTTGAGGCAAGATGAGACCCGAAGCAATGATTTCTCTGTCCCTCCTGGACCCACCTTGTATCGCTCTCCCAACTCCTTCTTCTGTGAGAATTCCAGACCTTGCCTTGCCAGGGATCTGCAATAACAGACCCTCACCCCACTGTCCCCTCCCAGCCCCGTCCCCCACGAGCTGGCAGGGAGAGATCAGGTGACAGATCCCCAGGTGCAATTGTAGGCGGTCATGGGGACTAAGATCAAGCGGGGGTGTTGGGGTATAGAGCAAGAGGAGAGGAAAACCATTATTTGCGTTTGCACAATACATTCGGGTAACTTGTGGGCAAATTCGTTTTGTGTGGAGACTGGATTAATAAGGCACAAGCATAATGCCACAGCAAACCTGTCTTCTGAGCTCGGGTGAGTGAAGTGTAAAGGAGGGACAATGAAATGTACATCACAACTCGCACCTCCCGTGAATGTGTATGTGTGTGTGTGTGTATTCCCAGAATTTGTATATGTGGCTGAGCAAATAAAAGCAGGCCCTTATTATCCAGAATGTACTAGATTTTGTATTCGAAGAAAACATGATGTTCAAGAGAAACATCAAAAGTGCTTTATTCAAAGCAATGTCCATCACTAGCTACACATTTCCCCATCTTTCAGGAAATTTATGGATACCATCCCAATAGAACTTTTTTTGTTTTGAGGCAAGCCATTCAGAGACCCAATTTTCCACTTCTTCGTATGTTCTAGTGAATACAGTGGGTGGGCTAATACTTCCCAGGCAAGATCTTTTAACGTGTCTTTAAAGGGTTTGAAGTGTGTAATGGTGCGTTATCATGAAGGAAAATTACTTTGCCATATCTTCTGGCACATTCTGGTCATTTCATGATCAAAGCATGGTTCAAATTGATTATTTATTGTCAATAGAGATCAGTAATAATGGTTTCACCTGGTTTTAGAAACTCATAATACACCACACCTTCCTGATCCCACCAAACGCAGAGCATTGTCTTCTTTCCAAAGCGATTGGGCTTTGCAGTCAGTGTTGATGGTTAACCTGGATCAACCCATGATTTTGTGCATTTGGGATTTTAAAAATAAATCCAGTTTTCATTGCCAGCTACAATTCAATGCAAAAAATACTTTCATGACTTTGAAACAACATTTTACTGATGACTGTTCAGTTTTCCATTTGTCTTTCATTCAGTCGATGTGGCACCCATTTTCCTTCCTTTAAAATCTTTTCCATTGCTTGTAAACAATCGGAAATTGTTTGCTGAGCCATGTTGAATCTTTCTGCAAGTTGTTTTTGAGTCTGACAGGCATCTTCATCCAGTAATGCTTGTAATTTTTGGTCTTCAAACTTTTTCTGTTGACCTGGACGTTCTTTGTCTTTCACATCAAAATCATCACTTTTAAAGTGTTTAAAACAAGATTCACAAGTATCTTGAGATGGGGCATGTTCACCATAAGCTTCCTTAAGTATTCAATATTTTTTTTCTTTAAAATAATGAATTAAAACTTCCCGCAAATGCCCTTTTTTTTGGGCATGAAATTTGACATTTTTAAGTGTAAAAATATCTATGATGGTAACACCTTCAGAAAATTTGACATATGAAGTTTTAAAGCTTGCTGTCAATACAACAAAATAGCATACATATCAAATTGCATATATATCAATAGATGTGTAACCCCATCTATTAAAAAAAATCCTCATTATTAACCGGTACACCTAGTAAGGGCAAGGCCGTTCATACAATGTGATCATATATACCATTGAAAAGCATTTTGAAGCTACTAAAGATGATAGAAAAATGTAATGTTAAGCCTTGCTGGTTTGGTTTAGTGGTTGGAGCATTGGCCCATGGACTGAAGGGTCCTGGGTTTGATTCTGGTCAAGGGCACGTAACTTGGTTGCAGGCTCTATCCAGAGCCCTTAGGGGGCAACCAATCTATGTGTCTCTCTCACATAGATTTCTCTCTCTCTCTGCCTCTCCCCCTCCCTTCCACTCTATCTAAAAATCAATAGAAAAAATATTCTCAGAGGAGGATTAATAAAATATGTAAAGTTTAAACACTGTTTTGTAGTGTCACAGAAAATGTGCTGGAGCAGTACATTACTACTTCTCCACAGGTGTGTATGCAATCGGAGTCTTTGGGCTGTTAACACAGATAGGATCCCCGCTGCTTCTGCCATTATCCGACTGAAAACTGCAGGGCCTCTCTGGCACCCCCCCGCCCCCAGGGTGCGTGGGGAAGGTCTGAGCCAATGTCACCCTGTTCTCGCAGCCCGCCAAGTGATGGCGCTCAGGCATATGTTACAAACCTGTGTCACCTTCGGGGGAAGGATTTCAGTAAGAAAAAATGGGAACTAGGATTGAAAATGCTGTTAAAATTCTGGGTACTCCATTTAATGTCCAAAATTGACCAATATCTAAAAAGGACTAATGTGAGTCCAACTGGTATGGCTCATAGGTTGAGCGTTGACCTATGAACCAGGTCATCTTCAATTCCAGATTTTGATCTCAATCCCCAGTGTAGGGTGGGCAAGAGGTAGCCGATCCATGATTCTCTCTCATCATTGATGTTTCCATCTCTTTCCCCCTCTCTGTAATCAATAAAAATATACTTAAGAATAAAAACAAAAAGAACTAATGTGAAACTTTCCTTGCCATCCACTTCCCCAGGCCCCACGCAGGCCCACACAGGCCCCCTGGAGAAGAGGAGGAAACATTTCTGACTGCAGCCTCCGTGCACCCCCTTTGTGGTTGGAGAGTTGCTGCCTGGGAGGAAAGTGAGGCATGTACTCAGATACTTTCTGGAACATTCTCTGTACTTGCTAACGTGGCTGTACTTCAGGAATGTGGACAAGAGGCCCCGCTGGCCTTTCATGTTGCTAACGGCACTGTAATGGGAGCTTAAAGGCTTAAATTTATAGTCCAAAGCCAATTAACTTCCTTCCCATCACTGCCTGTTGCAAGAGAGTAAAAGGCCAAGAGACAAAAGGAACACAGAGTTACGGCCTTCAGAATAGGAATGAAAAGTGCCATTTGCTTAGGCAGATATCTATCTCAAAGTTCTTTACATCCAAATTGCATTTTTAACCAGGCTGCTTCCTTTAAACGCCAGCCGGAGCTTCCTAAGGTTCTGGCAGATAACTGAACATCTTCCCTAACGTGTACCTTTAACATGTCGCTGTGTGTGCAAGAAAACCAGGCTTTCCCCCACACCTTTTTCTAGGGAGGTGACTGCTCTGCCTAAGTAGATATCACATCAAAAAGTTAAAAAGCTCAGGGATTAGTGCAGCACAGACTCCTCTGAGAAAATGTGGGGGTGATTCTTCCCGGGGACCCCTTAGCAGGCGGGAAAGTGCAGTCATTGAGCTGGGAACAGGAAAAAGTGGGGGAGCCTGTCCCAGGGGTGACCGTGGAAAGATGGGGCATGGGGAGTGGGAAGGAGGGGGCTGAGGTAGGAGGGAGGAAGGCAGAAGCAGGGAGGGGGCAGCCGGAAGTGAGGAGGGGATAGGGAGAAGGGGGAGAGAAGGAAGAGAAAGCCCGGAATGATCAAAATAGTAAATCAAACTCAAATCAGAAAACCAGTCAGGCAAATGGCTACATACGTAACCTGGTCCCACCAGCATACTTACGAAGAATGACGTGGGTGATAACGAATGCAAATATAAAGACTGTCAGAAAAGACAGAGATAAAATAAACATATAAAAAAATCTGTAGTTTCTTTTCCCCACACAGTTGCCTACCCAGGGACAGTGGTGATCAAACCGTTCTGAAAAGAGAGGCAGAAAAGAAAAAAAAGGGGAATCAATTAATAAAGTGTCTTTTTACATGAAGAAGCCCCGCCCCCCAATGCTGATAACATAACGAAAATAATATAACTACGTATTTACACACGCACCACTCAGAGCAAGGCTTAATAGGAAGACATTTCAAGAACATGACTATTCTTTCAACAGGACTTGTCTGTTCAAAGGAAACCAAGAGGAAACATTTATGCCCATTAAATTAGAAAAGTAGTTCACCCTGCGGCAAAACAAGAGAAATGTGAGGACTCTGGTGCACAGAACAGTCTTTCCTTAAGACGGTGTCAGCTCCTCTGACGTGAGAGCCGGGCAGACGGCGGGGGGCCCGCCCTTGTGGGTTCAGGTCCCAGGGGCGGGGACAGGACAGAGGGACAATCCCTGGTCTCCCATCCCAAGGACGACTGTCTCCTAAGCAATGTCTCTGCTATGTCAATAGTCGGAGAAGAACTGATATTATTGTTTTAAAAATAAATATTTTTATTGATTCCAGAGAGGAAGGGAGTAGGGGAGAGATAGAAACTTCAGTGATGAGAGAGAACCATGGATCGGCTGTCTCCTGCACACCCTCTACTGAGGATTGGGCCCGCATTGCGGGCAGCTGCCCTGCCTGGGAATTGAACCGGTGACCTCCTGGTTCATAGGCTGATGCTCAACCACTGATTCACAAGAAGCAGCCAGGCCTCGCGGAGGATCTGGAGAGAAGTCTCAGAGCTCACGGTCCTGGTGACAAGCCAGTGGCTCTAAGATGCTGACCCTCCAAGGAAAGCAATTCTGACTGGCGTGCCCACGTGAGTGACAGCGGCAAAGGGAACCCCTGAGTCGTCCCCCACATCTGTGACATACACAGGAGAACACGCAGAATGCACAGAGAGAACACGTGAATCGGCCAGATTTCCCCGAGACGGGGGCTGTCGTCCTGGGAGACCGCTCCCTCTCCGCACAGGAGCGCAGGAAATGGGTGCGGCGTGGAGGCTGGCCCAGAGGCCCGGGACGGAGCCTCCATTCCAGCTGAGGCCGACCTCCCATTCCCAGTGTGTGGAGGCTGAGCCCTTCCCCGGCTCACAGCTGCAGAGGACAGCAGGCGCGGGAGCGTGGGCATAGCTAACAGCGTGGGCCCACGCAGTGCCAGGCTGCCTCTGCCCTTCCTCGGACACTTGCTCTCACCGGCAAACTCTTTACCCCACGTTCCAACACCAACTCCACCGGATGGCGCCAAAGCGGCCGCATGCTGCAGCCTCCGCTGAGCCACCTGCCACCTCAGCCTCGGCCCCGGAGAACCCTTGTCCCTCCCCACACAGTCCTCTTCCCTCTGCCCGCCTCCTCTGTCAACCCAGAGTCCCACCTTTCTTTTTTTCTTTAATCCTCACCTGAGAATATGTTTTTATTGATTTTAAAAATATTTTTAAAATATATTTTTTACTTTTTTTCAGAGAGGAAGGGAGAGGGATAGAGAGTTAGAAACATTGATGAGAGAGAGAGAAACATCGACCAGCTGCCTCCTGTACACTCCCAACTGGGGATGTGCCCGCAACCAAGGTACATGCCCTTGACCGGAATCGAACCTGGGACCCTTCAGTCTGTAGGCCGACACTCTATCCACTGAGCCAAATGGGCCAGGACCTTATTGATTTTTAGAGAGAAAGAGAGAGAGAGAGAGAGACAGAGAGAGAGAGAGAGAGAGAGAGGTTGATCGGTTGCCTCCCATACACACCCCGGCCAGGGATCGAACCCGCTACCTTTATGGTCTATGGAATGATGCTCCAACCAACTGAGCCACGTGGCCGGGGCCCAGCACCATTCTAGACTCCGTTCTTTCCCTCACCCTCACATCCCATCCACGAGCAAGTCCCATCAGCGACTCGCACCGTCACCTAACATTGTCTTAGTTATTTACTTGCTTTCCTCTGCCAACCCTACTCCGAGCCGCTGATGAAACCTGTCACGTAAATGAACAGACCTTCTCACCACCAGCAGGACGCCGGCGAGCACGCGCATTGCCCGATGACAGAGCGGACGTGCAGCGAGGCTGGGCGGGGACCTGGCTCCACGGGCCTCCGGACCTTGGCCACCAAACGCCCGGTGCCCTCAGCGAGCAGCGCCAGTGTCCGGCAGCATGAAGGATGAGGCCTGCCGCGAAGGAAAACAGCCACACACAGCCTGGCCTTTACCTTATCCTCTTCCGGGAGGACACTTATAATACTTTCAGACTCCAAACTCTCCTCAGCCCAAGGCCTGGACTCTAACCCCCCCTTCTGTGCCGTAATTGCCTGTGGCTTCTCCGGGTGTGGAAGGAGAGTGTTCTGAAGCAGAGCTGGTCTGACGATCGAGGGCAGCAGCGAGGCGAGCACTTCTCCGGGATAAACAAGAAGCCGCTCTGTGACAGGAGCCATCCCCAGCGCATCCCGAGGGCCCGGGCTTGATGGCGAAGCCCGGACGGGCAGAGTGCCTTCCAGGCTCTCACACTTGCTAAGAACCGCCTGGCGGTTTGCTCACATGCAGACTCCTGTACGCGGGTGTTCCATCTACGGAATTCCTACCTACATACATGTTACTTAGACCGTAACAAACATGTCATGAAGGAGATTGTTCTGAGCCATTAAAGACTGGGTGGGATTTCATTGTATTTTGGTTATTGTCTCCGAAGCATCTCTCGGCTCTCTTGCAATTTTACTGTGCATGGAAGTGATCCTGGTTGAGAAGGAGCCTGAAGGACGGATGGAGAGGTTGGAGGGGGGATTATCTGGCTGAAGCAAAAGCGCAGCTCCAGCCACAGCGTGGAGATTTGAGGGAGATGGTGTAGGAACGAGAGAGGATCTGGGCAGCCGGGGAAGGAGAGGGAGCTGCTGAGTGAGGCAGGAAATGAGAACCGGCAGGAAGAGACGGAGAACACAGCGCCCTGACAACCGGGAACGGCTTTAATTTGACACAAGAGGAAGCGAAGGCTTCCAGGAAAGAATGTCAGTTCTCCGCCGAGTGAGTCAGAAAGGTGGCCTGGATGAGCCGCCTGTCCCTGGAGCTGGTCACCCTGAGTCACTGAGCAGGAGCTGCAATGGAAACCATCTCTTTCTGAAAGCAGCCGCGCTGCTCAGAGGAGACCAGGAGGAAGTCAGTGCCAGCATCCATGCCCACGTCCTCCTCTGCGTGCTCAGAGGGCGTAGCCTGGCTCGGAGCTCGCGGTGCGGATGACTACAGCCTCTGAGGACGGCGGCCGCCTGCACGGCCAGGAGCGAGCCCGGCTCTCAGTCTTGCAAAGTGCGCGTTGCCTCGGTGATGGCGACGTTCCTTGACTTCTCTGTCCCCGTGCGAGTCTCATGAACCTGGGACACCACAGGGAGGATCCCTGACAAGGAAAACCTCCATGTTGTCTTCAGCTGACAGATCTCGGGACTGTCCAGGCTCATTTCAAGTCAGAGTGGGGACGCGGTTACGGGCCCGGCTAAGGCGCGCAGGAACCTTCCGGAGAGGACGCGGAATGGGACAGGGAGGAAACATGGCAGGCAGCGTGAATCCAAAGGCATTCGCAGGCTCTGCTGCTTCGGCCAAAGAGACGCTAAGGAAAACCAACAGACTAACGCTGGACAGGCTTTCAGCTCATTTCAGCAAGAGAGCAAACCCCCAAACCGGAAAGAAAGAAGATGCAAAAGAGGAAAAAAGATTCTCACTTATGAACGCACGTTAGAGCCAGCTTCATCTGGAAAGGATTCGTCATTCTGACAGAGAAAGGCGTATTCCAGGAATGCGACGATTTTTTAATGTTCCCGAGCCTATTAATTTATCGATAGGTCAGAGGCCGGCCGTGTGTGATCAGGGATACTGCAGCGTGGCACCTGTTTCTCACTCTAAAACTCCCAACACCCAGGCTGGGGGCGTGGCCGGCAGAATCTGGGCTGCGGGACCTTGGTCCTGGGACATTGCTCCCGGGTCCTGTCACCTCGCCTGGCAGAGACTCTGCGGGCGCCATTCAGGTTCCTGATGAACTGGCCTTAAACTCGGGAGGGGACATGGCTGTCCCCGGACCCACCGTGATCACAGTGCCCTGGAGAGCGAAGACGGAGAGAGTGCACGCAGGAGGAGGAGGAGCTGGCTTGAAGATAGGGGTGGGGGGATGGGAAAGGGGAGAGGAGAGAATCCCACCTGCACCAGCTTAAAGAACCTGAGGCCTGCCCTCCCCCTCCCCCCCTTGTGACTTTAGCCTGGAGAGACCCTGAACTGGGTTCCTAACCACTGACATTTCCGAGCAGCAGATGGGTGTAGTTTAAAGCCACTACCTTCATGGTAATTGGCCCTTTAGCAACAGGAAACTAATGAGGACTATTCCTTTAACATGCCTTTTTCAAAGCTAACTTAAAAAAAAAAAGTAAAAGAATGAATTATTCACATTAAAGTTAGGAACAAATTAGGATGTCCACTATCATTACTATAATAATATGTAACATTTCTAGCTCTTCTAATTCACATAGTAGAATGAGAAAACTGTGAACATATAACCCTCAAAATGAGCAGACAATATTATCACTTTTTTATAGATGATGAGGAAACCAGCAATAACAGTACCAGCAAACAGGAGAGCTAGTTTTTTTAAGTTAAAATAATAGTAACAAGATAAAATAATAGTAACATTCAACTCAAAGCCTAAGCTAGCCATAACAACCAGCAGCATTTCGGATGAGGCAATGCGGTAGACGTTCTGAAGTCCAAAGTATGGTCCTAACCCACAGGTCAGCTGGAGTGACCCGCGCGTGCATGTGTGGGGGTGGCTTCTGCGTGTCCCCTTCCGCTCTCTGTGTCTCCAAAGCGATGATTAAGTGCACAGCTCCTGGTAGAGAGGACTGGCAGCATGGGGAGGCTGCGGGGGAGGGATGCACAGCGGGGCGCGCTCAGGGAGCTGGAGGCGGCTTTGGGCCCAGAGTCCTGGGTGCCGGCCACTATGCCACATGCCACAGTGTCGGTGGGAGTTACTGGGTTGAAGAGCAAAAGCCCCAGCAGGTAGACGGACAGACAGGACAGAAGGACAGAGGTTCAGAGACTAGCCGGAAGGGCAGGGTGGGAACTCCTGTGGGATTTCAGGACGCGCACAGTCAGTCAGCAAGGACCTCACGGTGCATGAGTGCTTTCCAGGCCACAGTGACTCGGCTTTAACCCCTGAGGGAGCCCAGGGGCTGCGGGCGCAGAGTGGGCTGGACAACAGCCTTCTAACACTCTGTTTCCAGTGAGCAGAGCAACATGATGAAGACACAGAGAGAGAAAGAATGAGAGAACGAGATGGAAACAGGTGATGAAGACGGAGAGAGAGAGAGAGGCCATCCACTTCAGTGCGACACATCACCCAATCCTGCCAGGCTGAGCAGCATTCATGACAAGCAGTCCTGAGCCTGGTGTGGGTGCCGGGCTGTCCTGGGTGCTTGCTGGGCACTGTCTCCCCTGACCCTTAAGGGCACCTCGGAGGCAGCACGGTAAGCCCCGTCTGCAGGGGTGGGGACAGCGGGGGTGGTCGCATCACCTGCCCGGGTGCCAGGTGACTCAACGCCAGCGCCAGGACTCGGGCCTGCGTCTGTCTCAGAGCCACGCCCCCGTCACTGGGCTCTGCCAACAGGTTCTGTCCTTGCACCAGAGTTCACTCGCCAGGAAAGCTTCTCCTCTGTCCTCAGACCCCGTGCCACCCTGCTTCCATTTCACACGGACTTAGCGAAGTACAGCACTCTCCTGGCTGTCTAGGAACCGGCATTCCCCTCTCTCCGCTCCCAGCCAAAGCTATGGCACCGGTGAGCCTGGAAGGACCACCCAAGCCCCCTCGCTACGCAGAGAGGGAGCCAGGGGCAGCCCAGCTCTCAGCACATCCCTGTGGGTTCTCCCTGGCTGCAAAGAGTCAATTCCTCAAATAACAACTTTCCATCCAAAAATAAAACAATGGCTGACTCTGCCGTTACTTCTCCCAGCGGAGACACCTGCTCTCCACGCTGTTCCCCGGGGGAGGGGGGCACCTCGCTGGTCTGCTAACGGGTCCGCAGGGGCGGGACGCAGCTCAGTGAACGGGAAGCCAGAGCCGTCTGGGTGGGAAGCACCGTGTGGTTTTGCGGGAGTGCCGGGAGCAGCTGTGTGACAGCCAGCGGATGCTTCTGATGTCACCTGCCCCCACGGTGCGGCCCCTGAGCGGGGCATTGCCAGGCTTCAGCCCCAGGACCATCCCATGATGCTTGGAGGCAGCTGTGGGCAATGGGCTTTTCCTCCTCTTATTTGTTTATTAAAACTATTTATTTTTATTGACTTCAGAGAGGAAGGGAGAGAGAGAGAGAAACAGAAACATCAGTGATGAGAGAGAATCACTGATGAGCTGGTTGAGGATTGAGTTGTTGGCTCAGGCCAGGAAAGGACGAGTCTGTGTGTGTGGGCAGCAGTGCTCCGTCTGAGGGACAGGAAGTACAGGCCAAGGGGCTGGAGCCAGGTGAACTGTAGGAACCCTGTGCGGGGCCGGCCATCGCCTGACAGCAGGGCCACGTCCAGCCACCGAGGACCGCAGGGCTCCACCGTGCCCCCTCTGTCTGTTCCCTAGTCCCGCGGTCGGCAAACTGCGGCTCGCGAGCCACATGCGGCTCTTTGGCTCCTGGAGTGTGGCTCTTCCACAAAACACCACGGCCTGGGCGAGTCTATTTTGAAGAAGTGGCATTAGAAGAAGTTTAGGTTTAAAAAATGTGGCTCTCCAAAGAAATGTCAGTCGTTGTACTGTTGCCATTTGGCTCTGTGGACTCATGAGTTTGCCGACCACTGGGCTAGTCTGTCCTGGGGACGCCATAGGCAGACGAGAGGTCTCGGGGACTCCGGGAAAGGTGACAATCCCAACTGTAGGCCCGGGAGTCTCCCGGCCTCTGTCCCCGCTTCTCTCCTTCACTCCCAATGCCGCCAGCTCCCTCACCCGCTGCCCCCGGAGGGCGGGCAGCACCAACACAGCACAGCCCATTCCCGAGGCCGCTCGCTGGGCACAGCGGGGAGCTCCCGGGGAACTGGTCTTATGCCAAGTGCCCGCTGATCGGGCAGCTCAGGGAACAAGGAACCCCCTGGCAGGGGTGCCCGGGAGAAGGCCTCGCACTGCACTGGCACAGGGGACGGGGCAGGGTTAAAGGAGAAAAACACAGGCTTTGGTAACGCTCGGCTCGGTGACCGGGATCGGCGCAGGAGGCACAGATGTGGCAACATGACAATGACGGGGCGCTTGGTCTCACAAGCTACAGGGATGCACACACGCTTCCAGCAACGGCCACCGGCCGCTCGGTCAGCCACCGGCTGCTCGGCCAGCCACCGGCCGCTCGGTCAGCCACCGGCCGCTCGGCCAGCCCCAGGCGCTGGGGCACAGCCTCTGAGCTGGGAACAGAGCGGCTTTCGCGGCTACTCACCTACGCAGTTATCACACAGGCTGCAATGGGAGGCACGGGGCGGCCGGAAAATCTTGCAGGTGAAACAGTACTTAAGTTTCACGGTCTGGCCGTTGATGATGACTTCCTTGGTTCTGGGAGGCGAGCGGTACCCCCCGGAACTGCTGCCGTTGGCGATGTCTGTGGAGAGAAGGAGAGAGAGCACGCACCCTTAGCAGAGCTCCACCGCGGCAGGCCTCGCACCCCGGGGGCCTGGGGTCCGCCCTCCCGGCCTCGGGGTACCGTGCCTTTCCGGGAGTCTCCTGCCCCTGGTCACACCAATGCGCCGAGGGCAGGAGGGCGGGCTGTCCCCCAGCTTCCAGCTCCTTCCAGGCTTGGGTCTGTGGTTACCAGGCCAGGCAGGTGGGAGTGGCCACGTGACTGAGCTCTGGCCAATGGGGCGCCAGCACGCGCCACTGCTCAGAGGGGGGAACCTGCCCACAGTTCTGCTCACTCTCGTCTCCCTTCTCGGTTCCTCTCTTGACACCATGGAGCCACAAACCTGGGCCCTGAGGACAGACCATGCCCAGGAAGACCACCCGGAGAACCCTTCCCGGGCTGGTTGTTCCATTGCTGCCTGGTGTTAAACAGCCAAGGTTTGGTGTCACCTGTTACAGCAGCTAGCATTGCCCTGATGAATACTGTGGGTGATGGTGACAATGGACAACCCAGGGGTCCGGGCTACCTGACAGACAGTACTGGAGCCATCTCGGCAGAGACAGGGTTGAATCAGATGCTGACAGGATGGGAGAGCAGCAGGTCACCCACAAAAATGTGCTCTGCAGCCCCCATAAGCAGGCTGCTCAGCTAGGGTGGACAAAGGTTACTTGGGGAAGTAGGCAATGCAGGCGGGATGGGACGCCATTGTTTGGGCAACTAGGTTGTTCATCTTTCCATGATAACAGGCAGTTATGGGATGAAAATGGACCGCATTTCAAGGGGGAGGGGGGACGCGCATACAATTCCCAGCCAGGTTAGTTAGAATGTCCTTTAGTTAACCAGCACAAGGCAATCAGAGTGAACAGCATGATTAATATTTCTCATAACCATAGCTAGTTCCCAATATTCTATTTTTGCCCCTAACGATAGTACGTCAGGTACACTTTCTCTGGTGCATTCCAAATGGAGCACAAATATCTCTTCATTTTGCCCACTGGCCACCTCAGAAACACCAGGTACTGGCTGTGGGGAATAAATAAATATATATATATGTGTAATCATTAAGTGCATATTTGAAAAGTATTGTCTATGTTTTGTTTATTGTCTGACCTTATTTTTTAGAATCACTCTTTAAATGTTGAGGAAAACAGAATACATCTAATTTCTAAGTGCCATGTTATCTGACAGCCTGGTTCTGGTCCCTGAGTTCATGTCAGAATCACAGGGAGCTTTGCAAACTCTCCTAATGCACAGACCCTTCCCCAGACCCGTTCCATCAGAGACGCTGGGGTGGTTCCGATATGCAGGACGGAGAGCCCTGCTCTAGGGGAAGGGGAGACACCAGGCTTATCCCCGTGGAGACCCTCACAGCCCAGCAGGCTGCCTGAGAGAACGGGGCAGCTAGCTGTGCGGCAGAACAGGCCGCAGGTGACGGAAGTGGAGCAGTGAGGAGCAGACTTCCTTCTTACCTCCGTGAGGACAACCCTTCTGCTAGCATGATTAACTGCTGTGGCGCCATCCCAGGGGCTCTCAGTGGCCTTGCCCAGCAGGAAACCCTCTTGGCATGTGCCCCACCAGCTTTGCACCCCATGGCTGCCCTAAGGGACGAGGCTAAATACAGCAGACATCTGGACAGGCCTGAGCTCTCAAAACGTCTACACTGGAAGGGAAAGGATCCCTGAGCACCAGGGGGAATAGCTGGCTTTGAACACATCACAGTGAAGGTCAGAGCTCTAGCGGTGCCCCCCGGGCACCACTGGGCCTGAATTAATCATGGCTGGCGCCTCCCAGCCTTATGTCGCTGTGACATCTACTGTGCCTGCTTAGCTCTTGCAAACATGGGTAGGAAAACTAGAAAGCAGATACAGGTTTAAAAAGAAACAGAACCGAACCAATAATATTTGTGTTAATTTGATCAGAAGAGGTTTAAACACCGGTTTGTCAAGGAGGTGTTTTAAGAAGCAGGTATGATAAATGCATCCACTAGAGCAGGGCTCCTCAACCTTCCCAACGCCACGGCCCTTTCATACAGCTCCCCATGCTGTGGTGACCCCAACCTTAACATTATTTTCGTGGCTACTTCATAACTGTGATTTGCCTACTGTTATGAATCGTATTGTAAATATCTGTGTTGTTGTTGTGTGTGTTTTTTTAATAATATCTGAGAACAGCAGCAGTTCTCAGGTTGAGAACTGCTAGCAGGGTCGCCTAAGACCATCGGAAAACACAGATATTACATTACGATTCATAACAGTAGCCAAATCACAGTTATGAAGTAGCAACTAAAATAATGTTATGGTTGGGGTCACCACAACATGGGGAGCTGTATTAAAGGGTCGCGGCATTGGGAAGGTTGAGACCTCCTGGACTAGAAGGATCACTAAGTGCGCCTAGTTCTGTGCGGCAATGACTTGAAGGAGGGAGTGTTTGTTAGCACGTCTGGAGACTAACTAGTGACCTTGTAGTTCCAAAGGACATTTTCGAAAGATTAAACCTTTGACATAAAGTGAGCTGAAGGCCAGAACCCAACCTGGTCTTTGGGCTGGACAGATGCTACAATGGTCACAGCTACCACAAGCTCTTTTTTGGGGGATGAGGGGGTGTCTGTTATATATAGTCACTAATTAATGCAACGAAAGACAAGAAAAAGAAAGTGCTTAGCAGTTATGACCTTTTTAATTTTAACCAAGTTAACCCAAAATATGCTAATAGCTAAATGAAAATTAATGACCTTCTTATATTTTGCCGGATTATATTTTCCACATGATGCCCATGCCTTTCCCCCCATGTGAAAGAAATAAAGGAGGCCATGTCCTTGTAAAGTTTTCATTTGCCTCCAATTTTGTTAGAGTCATCTGAGCACACACACAGAACTGCTGTGCTGTGTAAGTGAAAATCGATTCTTCTATGAAGGCCTACGCTAGAAATATTTGTGTGTTTCTACTCCACATTATCAGAAACGAGTACATATTATATGATGATAGAGGTCAATTTGGGAGATCCGTGTTTGCAATATTGTAAGACAAGCAGATGAGAACAAAGGTAAGAATTGGGCACTAGATATCATGCCAGGGCAGGGCTGTGCTTCATTACTATTGCCAGGACAACCTGATAGTTTTTCATTGAAATCTGAGTGGCATTAGAACGAGGGCATCAGCCAAGACCCGAATGCAAGACCTGGCTTACATCTCATCTGTACAGTGATGAGACGTGATTTTATCTCTAACAAGGAAAAGAAAATTAAGGATGCCAATACAGAACTAGTACATAGTATCTATAAATACACTCTATTTTAAAGGAAAAACATGCTCATCTGTTATGATCACACATTCTTATCTCTTTAGTGAACCCAAATTGGTTAAAATTAATAAGAATCTTCAATGATTAGTATCAACCAATCAATATCTATCTATCTACCTATCTATATGCAAATTCCTAAAGTTTATATATATATGTGTGTGTGTGTGTGTGTGTACATATACATATATCTATAATAATATAAGCATAATATGCTAATTAGACCAGACGTTCTTCCATCCTTCTGGATGAAGCCAGGGCTGTGAGGGCTGAGGCGGCTGCCACCAGGGCGGCAGGGGCCGAGCCCCTTGCTGCGATGGAAGCCTGTGGCCCGCAGGGGAGGGACCGAGAGGCGGTCAATGCACCTCATGGTGACTGGTCGAGCGGTCGTTCCAGTTGTGATGCATATGGCCTCTGACCTTTTATTATATAGGATGGAGAACAACTTATAGTAAATGTCAACAAGAAGTAAGAGATTAAACATGTTATTATATTTTCCACACGGTGGAGTAGAATGGCTCATGGTATCTTAAAATCTGTTTTCAAAATAATGAATCCATATGTTCGTGAAAATATATTATGCAGAGAAAAAATACTGGAAGGATACATCAAAATATTAACCATGGAGATCTCTGGTTGGTAGGATTAATTAAATAAATAAATACATTAAAAATAAAGAATTAAACAAATTTTTTCTTATGCTTTTCAAGATGTCAATAACCTATATTATTTTGCAATGAAAAACAACAACAACAAGATGGCTTTTAAAAGAATTTGGAAAAAGGCACACATTTGTGAAAGGGGCTGGGATAGCTTTGGCTCCCTACAGTTCATAAAGTTAGACGTCAATGGAAATACCTCTGCTGCTTCAAAAGCTTGTAAGTTCATAGGTTTCATCAATGGTTTTAAAAATATGTCCTCTCTACCTCTCCTGTGACTGGCTCTGAGCAACATGTTCCTCCGACTCTTTTCTCCCTGAAACTCTTTAGGAAGGGGCTGTGTGACTTATCGTGGGCCCCTGGTCACTCCGGGAAGAATCATTCTCCTCTGGGGCCTCTGGCAGCCACACAGGCTGGACAAGGCCACCCCACAAACTCAGGTCACAGCCCAGATGACCTCAGCCTGACATCCATCTCTAGAAGTGCCTCATGCTGCTGGCCACTGCCTCTCTCCTCTGCGAAGCATCGTGCCAGGAGGAAGCCAGGGGAAAGAACATTTTCCTGGGCAAAGGAGACCCCGTCACATCGGCCATGCTGTGCCACCGCCACGTGACGTAACTTCTCTGGGCTCCTCAGATCTATGTAATGGCGGCTGGAGAGATGACTGATGAGGTTCCCAGCTGCTTTGGGGTGTAGGACTCCGTACAGGGCTCATGTTCCCCAACTTTAAGACTCCACTTTGCTTTGTGCTCTTCAAAGGCATGTGACTAAGTATGAATTAACTGAATGACTTGCCTACATTGTCCATGAACACATTTTTTTTTTTGTATTTTGCAGATGGGTTGAAGGTGCACTGGAGGTAAGCACTTAATGAGTGTTTCCTGACCTCGATCCAGCCCACCATTAGATCAACACCCTAACGCAGTGGTCGGCAAACTGCGGCTCATGAGCCACTCTGTTGACTAATGAGTTTGCCAACCATTGAGATAAAGGCTTAATCACAAGGAACAACAGCCTGTAATTATT